GGCGGTGGGGTCCTTGGTGCACAGTGGGTCTGCAGTTTGCCGGGCATGCGTGGAGTCACCCTCTGTCCCGAGGTGGCAGCGGGATTCCAGCATTGCGGTTACCTTTGCGGTTTTTTTTTGTTTGTTTTGGGGTTGAGGGTTTCGCTGTGGCTTTGGAGGCTGTCCTGGAACTAGCTCTTGTAGACCAGGCTGGTCTCGAACTCACAGAGATCCGCCTGCCTCTGCCTGCTGAGTGCTGGGATTAAAGGCTGCACCACCACCACCCAGATACCTCCCCTGGGCTTTTTTGCACTGGTGGTAAAGGCGTGGGCTCAGAAAGGGACCTGCATGCCTGAGGGCTTGGTTTGTTGTTGTTGTTGTTGTTGTTGTTGTTGTTGTTGTTTAGTTGTTGATGCTGAGTGTGATCCTCCCAGCCCTCTGAATCCATCAAGAACCTTCTTAAACAGTTACTGTAAATACAGAAAGGTGAATAAAAGATCCACTGATTCTAGATACCGGGCCAAGGAATGAAGGGACCTGGTTTGTGTTTCTATAATAAGCCCTACAGGCTGTGTCTTCCTAGCCAGCGATGGCTTTTTAGTTTCATATAGAAAGGGTATAGGGCGTGCAGCTGTGCCCTGAGGCCTATACTTCGAAACTTCATTTGCATTGACTTTTTGGTTGACCAGGTTTAGAATTTCTACTCCAGTCCTGTGAAAGACCCTGAGATGCAAGCTAAAGCCTTCTCCAAGTCAGTCAAGATGCACACATGCTTGCTTGACAGTCCCCTGGTAAAGTTTGTGGAGGTCATATGCCCCAAGGAACTACATCTGATTCCTTCGCACATCGTTTACTGGACTCAGATGTTAGACCCTTAAGTCTGGAGGAACTTTTTTCCTCCAGCACAGAATGACAAGCGTCCCTGTTTGTTTTACCAGCAGAGCTTGCAGCTAGCACCCACACTCCATACCTTCGCTCCATAAATAAAAGCCATTGCAATCATCACCAGTTCTGACCTGCACATCCCCAATCTCAACTGCTAATCCAAACAAAAGCTTGTTAACTGTATTAATTTGCCTCACAGAGGAAGAATGATGAGAATAAACAGTTGGTTCTACCTAATTCCTCACTAGCACAGACACATCATTCTTCATTTCCATGGTCCAGCCTGTAGATTCCATAATTAAATTATGTACTGCTCTTGGTGGATGCCAGGAAAGCAAAGGGGGAAAATATTTCACTGTTAACTATAGATTTTTTTTTTGTCATGATAAAACTCAGGCTTGAAAGAGCCACATAGATTAAACTGATGATTTTTAATGTCAAATTAACTTTAGTTGACTATCACGTTGCCACTAAAATTCATTATGTCCTGAGCAAGTGGTTTCTCTCCCCCACCCACTGCTTGGTCTTTGTCACCCTCATCTATTGTCCTTGGGTCTTGTTGGAGTCATTTCTCTTCTTACCAACATACAACTAATACATCAGCAGTTACTGCTGGTCCTTCAACCACAACATCATTAAGCTTTAAGCTTTCTTCCTTCCTCTGCCGTGTAAAGACTGTCATACATAATTTAGATACTTCTCATCAGTCTCCATTTTGGTCAACTCACACACACTCCCCTCTGCAATAAATTGAGGATCCTGCTTGTGGCAAACAGTTACCCACACTGTTCCTTCATTTCCCCGAAAGTCCCTCATCTTACAGAGGGTATCATTCATGATACAGAAACACTCCTGACTCATACTTTCACAGCTAGAGGTTTCAAATTTTCTGCACCAACAGTAAAACCAGACAGCCAAGTGAGAAAAATGCATGCCTTCCTATGTCTTGCTCATTAACACCTTGTAACTCCAAGTGTGACTGTAAATGTTAAATCTCTCGATAATACCTTTCATTTTGGCTTATAACTGAGGCTCTTGCTTCACCTACCACAGATACAGGAGCTTGCTATACTTTCACCCATGTCTAGATTTCAACTCCCTCGGCAAAGTGAGGGATGTCACAAGGATGGACAGCATCAACACGGTCGCAAGGGCTCTTGTCAGATTTTAGCCCTCTCCGATGCTTATGGGATGCTGGGTTATCTGTGTGTATTACATTACTTAGAATGTATTTCAGTAGTTCAGAAGTGTGTGTATGGGGCAAGGCAGGTTGAAAAGGCCAAAGTAAAATTCTGCTGAGGCTACCCTGGAAGGGACTTTGATGGCATTCGTAGATATTTGCCCTACCAAGATACCACCTAATAATTCTCTTTCTTGTTTGCCAAGAAGGAAAATTCTTTTTAACTGAAGAACCAGAGGCCGGAGCATGGGAAGCAGTCAATATGTGCATCATGTTTGCTGAGTACAAGAACATAGGGCTTTAGTCAGGCCAGACTATGAATTACTTCATAGTACCCTAGTGACCTTCAAAACATACTTACTTGGGCTTCTGTTGAATTAACAGTATACATTTAATAATTTTTTAAAAAATAATTTTCTACTGCATACTAGTGTTATAAAAAATCACAATAAACAAACTAGTTCTTGTTACTGCCCAGTTAATGAAGAATAAATGAACCTTACTGCTGGCCCATTTAACTTGTAAATGCTGTTTTTAATAGCCTATTGGGATATCTGTGTCTTTACTGGAGTCTGTTGGCCTATCTATGTATCTTATGTATCTATCATGTATGTATGTATGTATGTATGTATGTATGTATGTATGTATGTATGTATCTACTTAACTACCTACATACCTAACCACTCTATACAACCATCTCTATTTATGTACTTCAAAAAAGGATCTTGGGTATCCAGGCTGGCCTATAATTTACTATGTAGCTGAGATGACTTTGAACTTCTGATCTTCCTGACTCTGCCTTCCCAGTGCTGGGAATACAGGTATATAATCCATGAGCACTCCACCAACTGAACTACATTGCCAGTCCCATAGTCATGTTTCTTTTTATAACCCAACAGTGGTGGATAGAAGTTACTAGTTTTCGAAGGATTTGTTATTTTATGTTTCCACCTTACAGTCCAAACTAGAATAGATTGTTTAAAGCTTAAGTAAGGGAAGATTGTATTACCACCTATATGACAAAAAGGTTGATGACATTGTGGAATATTAGTTTTAAGATGTATTACATTCATTTATGATGTTTAATGATGCAAAGATATGTTGCATTCTTTTATGTTGCATTTGTTTAACTCTGTAAAGCTGTGTTACTTTGCCTGTCTAAAACATCTGATTGGTCTAATAAAGACCTGAATAGCCAATAGCTAGGCAGGAGAGAGAAACAGGTGGGGCTGGCAGGCAGAGAGAATAAATAGGAGGAGAAATCTAGAGAAGGCAATGAGGAGCAAGAAAAGGGGAAGGAGAGGAGGATGCTAAGGCCTAGCCATCCAGCCACACAGCCAGTCATGGAGTAAGAAAGAAAATCATATAGAATAAAAAAAGGTAAAAAGGCCAGAGGCAAAACATAGTTACAGAGAAATGGGATAATTTAAGTTAGAAAAGCTGGCTAGAAACAAGACAAGCTAAGGCCAGGCATTCATAAATAAGAATAAGTCTCCATGTGTTTATTTGTGAACTGGGTGGCAGGCCCCCAAGAGTTAAAGAAAAAACCAACTACATGATGATAATATAGAAACTCAGTATATGATCTCATATATATATATATATATATATATATATATATATGAGAACATATTCCTATCAGATATTTTAAATAGACTTTTTGTTTGAGTATAATACAAATATGTATAATATGTAATATATAAATAAGTATATACAATATATTATGTATATGGGGTATATACCCCAGTTATGTCTTTCCAATGAGTTAAGGAAAAGTACAAATGTGGCAGGATGTGGTGATATATTATTTATGATTTATTAAGCTTGCCTGAGGATTCAGAAAGCAAAGTCAGCTATAAGACACAGAAGCCAGGCACATACCTTTAATTCCAGCAGCTAGGAGGTGGTGGTACACACCTTTCATCCTAGGAGTCAGGATTAAGAGGTAGACAGATCTCTCTGAGTTCAATGCCACCCAAGGGGTACATGAGATTGAATCAGTTCTAAAAGAGTAACAGATCACACACCTTTAATCCCAGCACTAGAGGGGTATAAAAAGACAGAAACAGGGTCTCCAATATTCAGTAGGAGGCATTGATTCTCCAGCCACACTGAAGATAGGAGAGATTCATTTCTCCAGCCACCTTGAGGATAGGAAGACATTAAAGTCCTGGATTCTCCAGCCACAAGGAGAGGCACATAAGGAGAGGCAGCAGGATCAGACCATCCAGCCTGAGGTAGTGGTAAGAAGCTAGTGGCCAGCTACTTTGCTTTTTTGATGTTCAGCTTGAAGTTTGAATCCCAGTATCAGTCTCTGGGTCATTTATTTATTCGTGTTACAGCAAGAGGCTATACTAGCCATTATTAACTTCTAAATAAAATTTAACAGGGGATTTCATTTACAACGGTTTTTAGGCATTCACCTTGTTATTTTTCTGTGTGTATCAGTAAATACATTGATCAGTAAATATTGGCCAACTAAATAAATCAGAAGAAAAGAATTGCTTTATGCCAAACCACGTGTAGTCTCCAACATGTAAAGCAAAACTCTGCAAACTTTGGTTATTCCTCTCTATCTACCTCATTTTCTGTGTGTAATAGAGAGGAATTTGGCACATGGAGAGACATTTGACAGGCGAGACTTTAGGGCAGGTGGGTCAGCAACAAAGGGCAAACAATTGTTTTCAAGGCAAAAAAAAAAAAAAAAAACCAACCAGCTCTGAAGTTTTGTTCTTGACCCCAAACTAGCCATTTGTAGCCTCCAAAGTGAAGGCAGCCATAAAGGCTTTCTGCCTTCTTGTATTATGCCAATTCTCCAGGTGGCTTACTTTCCCTCTACAGACCTGAACTTGTAGCCTCCTTCATACATAACTGGTTGAAG